GCCAGCCCCTGGCTGGGAGCAGAAGGCCGGCGTCGCTCGGGGCAGCTTGCCTGGTCACGACAGCTTGCTCTGCCCAGCCCAGACTGGCCAGCGTGTTGCCATGAGCAGCAACGCCGTGCCGTGATGCTCAACCAGTCCCAAAAATGGGAATAACGTGTGCTGCCCAGCCCCAAAGCTGCTGGGGTCTGCGCTGGGCTGGGGTGTCCCCTGCAGTGATGCTCAAAGGGGCTGGTCTGGTGTTAGGGGGCTATTGCACGGGCTGGGGACCACCAAACGGGGCTGGGGACCACCAAGCTGGGCTAGGGGACCACCAAACCGATGGCCGCGCTCTCCCCGCAGGCCGGGCCAGCCTGCACGACAAAGCCTCGCTGCGCATTGACCAGGTCCGCTCCGAGGACCAGGGCTGGTACGAGTGCAAAGTGCTCATGCTGGACCAGCAGTACGACACCTTCCACAACGGCAGCTGGGTCCACCTCACGGTCAACGGTGAGCGGGGCTGGGGGGGGGTGCTGCAGTGCCGAAATGGGGTTTCCTTTGATTTCGGATGCTCAGTGGTGTCTGCGCTTTGCAGACAAGCGAGCCCGGAGCCATCCAGGCTGGCTGCAGCCAGGGCGTGACTTAAAAAAGGCACAAAGTTGCATTAGTGATCCCGGGGTTTAATTACACGATGCTTGTTTAAAGGAGAGACATCAAGAAATAGGGTTGGGAACGAAGCATCCCCGTAACAAAACAGATCAGAAGATCAAATCTTTGTTTTCTTGAAATTCAGATTTACTCAAATTACTTTTTTTTTTTTCCCTCTTCATTTTATTGAGGCTGCGTGTTAAACTAATTAGCAAATTGTGGCTTTCCACATCAGGAGACGTCTTTATTTTTAGCCCAGCAACAGGGCTGCGCCTCTTCCAGCTGCAGTGGGGTGGCTGAAGAAGGGGCTATCGGTACCAACAGCTCCTTGCTGGGCTTGCCTGACCTTGAGCAATTAATTGAACCTTTCCAGGGGACGGCTGGGGTGTGGCACGGAGCAGAGCCACCTAATTGAGCCCAATTAGCGAGCGGGAGCTGTGCAAGCTTTTTCCATGCAGCACACCAGACCAGCAGCCTCTTGCTGCTGCCTCCTTCCCCACCCAAAAAAAGGGGGTGAGATGCTGCCATCCTGCCTGCTCGGGAAGCAGGAGGCAAGGGAAAGCTCTGGCTTTCCCCCAGCTCATTACAAAGCTTAAAATAATATGGGGTGAAACAATATAATTCTTCTCCCCCCCCCCACCACCGAGCAGCTTAAATTGCCAACCTGTCTTCCTCGAAAGTGGGCTTTAACAAGTGCTGGTAATTAGGGGCAGGCTGTAATCCTGCCAGCCTCTTTAATCAGGAAGGAGCCTTTCGCCCTGCACTGCAGTGTTTTCCCGTGTTTAGGCAGTTGCAAGTTTAACGTGTGATGGGGGGGGACGC